TAAAAACATTGTCCTGTTTAGCATTCGTGTGTCTAACAGATACAGAGACAAACATGTGACTGTTATAGAAGATTCAGATGGGGGCTGGAAGAGTGGCTCAAGTGTAGAGCACCTGCCTTGCAAGCATCAAGTCTTGAGTTGACTCAGGTGGATTCCTTAGCTTCTTTTCATTATGTTTTAAAATACCTCTTTTTTATTTTATTCCAGCTGCAACAGATCAACTTCCTGAGCCTAATGCAAATAGTAGGGCCATCATTTGCTAACCTACCAGATGTGCATCAACTTCTCCAACAGGCCCAGTCAGTACATTTTGGGGGAAGCCAAGTATCAAACTACACAAGAGAGAGTGGTGATGTTGAAGTCAACAGCAGTCAGAATCTTAAGGAGAAAAGTTTCATTAAACCACAATCTATGGAAGAGTGCACCAGGGAGCTTTGCAAGACCATCCCCCAGGGCCATGAAGGAATTATCCAATCTGAAGATTGTAATGGGAATTTACAGGTAATGTATAAAAAAAATATTATTAAAATACTAGTGTCCTTATAGTTTAACTGTTGGCTTTTTGTTATCTGAGTAAACTTTTTAAGCAATTTTTCCAACATTCTGCCCCCTCCATAACATACTGAATATCATTTACAAAATGAGGAATTTGTAATATATTCTAAACTTGCATATACCACCTTTTTTTCTTCTAGAATGTTCCACATGTGAGTATTCCTTGTCAGTTAGACTGCCAAAATCAGAAGAGTGGGCAAATCCCAGCATCTCAAAGCTTATTAGCACCTGCTTCATTTTCTCCAGCTCCAGCTGAAAGTACTTACCTCCACCTTTTGTCTACACCTTCTGCTGTCCAAAAGACACCGAGACTGATCCTACCTGCCAAAACATTTAGTCCTGGCTGTGGTTTCCCCTTACTTCAATTTCAGTCTAAGCATGAATTCAAACCCCTTTCCTTACCTGCAGGAAGAGTTCCACAAGTTCCCTTCAGGCCTCAGGCCCAACCAAGAGAGGCCTGGGGATTATCAGATTCCTTCCAGCCTCCTCTGCCTCAGAGAGTTGTGCATACCACTTCAACATACCATTCAGATTCAAGGCACTACAATACTGAAGCCATAAGTAAAGCAGCTGAGCAGATGAAACAGTCAGAACCTGTAATTGCAGACATCCCTAATCACGTGAACTTGGGTCAGTATACTGGACAAGAAAACTTGACTTCTCAACAGGACTCTTCAGTATTTGTAAACCCAGAAAAACTATTTGATGTCAAGCCAGGACCCCTTGAAATACCTCCTCTGAATTCATTTGGACTTCCATTATTACATCTGCAATTTAAGCCTCCTTATATATTTTCATCAGCCTCAAGAGCGTCAATTACAGTTCCCTCAATACCTGTCAGAACTGTAGCAGAAGAAAGAAAATACTCACAACTGTCATTACTTCATTCATGTCTACCCCCAGAAAATACGGTAAAGAATTTTTATGCAGTGATGGAAAAGAGCTGAGTCCTGAGTTTTTCATACCATAAATACTGTATGTTCAATGAAAGCTCTAGTATATTTCTTTTTTTAAAATAATGCTTCTGTTATAGAAATAATATATAATTCAGGTTTAAAATAATAATTTATGTATTTTAAAGATTTTCTATTTTCTCATGAATGCCATAATTCACTAGATTCTCATAGATACTTCTTTTGCTCAGAGAATAAAGAAGATGTAAAGTGAAATCACCAGTTGTGTTCATGTGTATATCTGTGTGTGTGAGGAATAAGTGAGCATACTGTTTGAGATTCCTAGAAGTTGTGATGTGATTGTCTTCAAATCTGTCACAGGTTAAAGATGTTAAGTGCTTCCAGGTCTGTCAGTAGTTGTGCATGTGCTAAAGGGCTTTATAAACTACTAAATGCATGTTAAAATACTTTGATTTATGAAATTCAAATTGTTTAGGTTTAACTTTGTAAATGAGTAGTATCATTGTAGGGAAGTAATTGAGTAATTAATTGTCTGGTGCACTTTAAGATTTGAAGATGCTCTGGGAAGAGAAATGGTTATTCATTAGAAAAAATACTTAACCATGCCTCCGTTTCTTCTGAACATAGTATGAACAGAAGGGATTAAAGAAATGGAAAAGTCAGCATTTTGAGAACAAAGGATTTTTATTACTGGAAATAGTATAATGAATCCCCAAGTCCCCATCACCCCACTTAGGAGTTACCAGCATATTTCAGATCTGTTCCATGCACAGTCTTCATGCCTCTGTGTCCTCCCTGTTCCAAATAGGGTTTTGTTTTTTTTTTTTTTTTGATGGGTCTTCATGCTTGCAAAGCAGACATTCTACCACTTAAGCCCCATCTCCTGTCCATTTTGTTCTGCTTATGTTTTGGAGATGGGGTCTTAATTTGCCTGGGCTGGCTTCAAATTGTGGTTCTTCTAATCTCAGCCTCCCAAGTAGGTAGATTTATAGGTATGAGGCACCAGTGCCTAGCTTCCAAATAGTTTTAAATTGAATGCCAAATTTTATTTCATTATGTTTATAATTATAAGAAAGAAAAATTTTAATATGGGAATGCAATTTAGAAGATGACTTTTGCTTAATTTCTGAAACAAGATGACCCAGTTGAGGGCTAGTGATATAGCTCAGAGATAGAGCTCCTGTCTACTATGTACAAGACCCTGAATTCAATCTCTAGCACTGGAAAAGGAAAAAGAAAAAAACTTTCACCAATTTAAAATCAAGTTGAAACTTTCACCAATCTAAAAATCTCTAATTCTTTAAGTTATCGATATTGCTGGTAGAGTGGCTCAAGTGGTAGAGTTCCTGCCTAGCAAGTGTGAGGCCCTGACTTCAAGCCCTAGTGCCACACACACACACAAAAAGACATAAAGATATGGATACTCATTTTGTCAGTCAAAATCAATTTGTTCTGCTTGATTTGTTCCATCTCTTGAAAGTATTAATTTAATTTAAACAAATGTTTTTCTGTTTTAAATGTATTGCATAATTGACTTGGTAAACTTTTATTATGCTTTGCTTTTTTTTCCTGTAGTATAAGAAACCACAGCTTATCC